TCCAGGTTGAGCTGTTGTTCAGCATCTTAGCTGTAGAGGGCAGTGTCACTGGCCCTCATATGTGGGATCCGAACCGGGGCCCTCTGGTATCCCAAGCGAGTTCTTAACCATCGCGCCACTCGGCCGGCCCATATTTTTTATCTCCACTATAATCTTTTGTTACCCAAAGAATTATAAATTCTCTGTTCCATCCCAATATACAGAGGGTGCCCAAAAAATGTATACACATTTTAAGAAAGAAAAAAATTGTATTAAAATTATAATACTCAATATATACCAATAACAAAAGATGAATACAAGTCATGTGTATACATTTTTTTGGCACCCCCGGTATTAACAAGCAAAAACAATGAAGCTAATTAGTCCTGTTCTCCAACTATTGGGTTGTCGGAAAAGTCATGACGTATTTTGTCTGTTTTTCAAAAGTCATTTATTTATATAAACAACAAGATCAACTGATATATTGCTCGTTTTGTTAGATAACCTTTTGCCATCTTTCAGTGAGCTTCATTATTCCTCGTTCATAAAAGATCTGTCTTTATTAGCGAAAAACTGAACAAGGCTGATTTACAGCCTCATCTGAATTGAACGTTATACCACGCAAGGAGTTTTGAAGAGAGCAAAACAAGTGGAAGTCCGACGGCACAAGGGCAGGCGAGTATGTTGGTGTGCCAACACATCCCATCCAAGCTTCAATAATTTTTGACGGGTGATCAAACTTGTGTGTGGTCTTGCATTGTCACGATGGAACACACTCCATTACAATAAACAAGCTCTGGATGTTTCTGGATGATGGATTCGTTCAAACTGTCCAATTGCCGACAGTACACGTTCGAATTGTTTGGTTCCTTAGCAGGAGTTCGAAATACACGACACCTTTAAAATCCCACAACACTGAGAGCGTAACCTTCCTCTGATCAATGCCTGCTTTCAATGTCATTTTAGGCAAATCATCACATTGGGACCAAGACCATTTGGGCACCACATTGTTGTCAACAATCCACTTCTCATCACCAGTTATCAGTCGCTTCAATAAAGGATCATTTTCCTCATGTTTAATGAGCATATCACAGATGTTTATACGCACCGTCAAATGAACTTCTTTGAGTTCATGCGGAACCCAAATATCGAGCTTGCTTCAGTATCCCAGCTTCTTTAGGTGGTCGTGAATGCTTGAATGATGGATGTTCAATGTTTCTGTAATCTCTTGTGTCGTGTAACGTGGGTTTGACTGTATCAATGCCTTTATTTTGTCATCAACCTCGGTGGGCCTCCCTGACCGAGGAGCGTCGTTGAGATCAAAATCACCAGCATGGGGCCAGCCGAGTGGCGCGATGGTTAAAAACTGGCTTGGGATACCAGAGGTCCCCGGTTCAGATCCCACATATGAGGGCCAGTGATACTGCCCTCCACAGCTAAGATGCTAAACAACAGCTCAACCTGGAGCTGGGCTGCCATGAGTCGCCGGCGACGGCGTAGGCTGCAGCCCCCGTGGCAGTGGGTTGCCATGGGTTACCGTATGTAGCCAGCAGCCAGCGTGAGCAGCCAGCAGCCACTGTGAGCGGCCGTCCAGAAGCCGGCAACATCTGCCTCGCCCGTGAAGAGTGCAATGATGGTGCCAACTTGGGCCAGTGAAGCAACGTCCTCCACAACTAGTCTGAAGAACAAAAGGACAGAAACTTGTATATTCCCCTTCCCACAATTCCCCAGCACTTCCCATCCCCCAGTTCCCCAGTAAAAAAATCTTAAAAAAAAAAAAAAATCACCAGCATGGAATTTCGTGAACAATCGTTGGCACTGATGTTCTTGTAGAGCATTGTCACCGTAAACTTTATGCAACTTTTCACAAGCTTGATGTAGGTTCTTCCCTTTATGGAAGTAAAACAGTAAAATATGGCAAAAACGCAGTTTGGTCTTCCATCTTCAACTTGTAAAATCTCCAAAACTCAACCAAATCGCTCAATTTTTTTTTAGAATGAAGCTAGAACTGTCAGCTGACAAATGACATAGCAATAACATAGATGCGAGTAACTCTAGTACTTCCAAAAATGAACTAGTGCATCTGTCACGACACTTCCAACAACCCAATAGAAAAGCATGGTCCTCAAGTCTCACACTCTCAGTTAAATATGTAGCGACAACCAAACAATGGCCAAATAAAATGCCTGGCAACGTTAGTTTGGGAGCACATTTCAGGAAAAGCACAAAAGAAATTATCTAAGAATTCACCCAGTTAAAACCTTACTATAGGGCCGGCCGAGTGGCACCTTGGTTAAGAGCTGGCTTGGGACACCAGCTCTGAGCAGCAGGGCCCTGGTTCGGATCCCACATGAGGGCCAGTGACACTGCCCTCTGCAGCTAAGATGGTGAACAACAGCTCTACCTGGAGCTGGGCTGCTGTGAGTCGCCCACGACGGCATAGGCTGCAGGCCCTGCTGCAGTGGGCTGCCATAAGCTACTGTGAGTGGCCGGCAGCCGGTGTGAGCCCAAGAGCTGCTGTGAGCAGGCGTCCAGAAGACAGCGACCGATTTTCCTCACCCGGGAAGAGGGCAATGATGGTGCCAACTTGGGCCAGTGAAGCAACGTCCTCCACAACTAGACTGAAGAACAAAAGGACAGCAACTTGTCTGTTCCCCTTCCCCAATTCCCCAATAAAATCTTTAAAATCATAAAAAAATAAAAAACCTTACTATAAATTATTTACTGTTTAAGTAACAAATGAAGTATTAACTCTAATAAGTAAGGATGAAACCTGGATTAGAACTAGTAATTTGATATATTCGAGGTCACAGTTGCTTGCATTACAGCACTGATGAAGTATTAGAGAAAGACAAATCTCTAAGAGCATGATGTGACAGCTATTATACTGATAATTTCTTAAAGTTGTAGACGTTAGCTAGATCTCTGTTCAGCTCCAGAGCCCAGTATTTTCTTCAGTCACCACATACTGGATTAGCCACTTCAGGCCAAGAACAGCTCTTGTTATAATTATCAAAGACCTATTCTAATGATAACCCCTAATTTTTTCCAACTTTTTGCTTCTGCACATGAGTAAAAGGAAAATAAAACCATCTACTCGGGACTTCCATTTTAGGCAACACAGCAGACCAAACATCTGTAGAGGCCTCCACTCCCCCAACATAATACCTAAAAATGCTTGATCAAATTTTACTTAAATAGTATTTTAAATACATAACTAAGATGACAGGAAATCCTGAGATGCCAGGGAGTAGAAAAAACTGCAAATGCCAAAACAAAGGACCTTTGTGCCATGCCATTCACAAAATCACTGAGGCTTAATGAGCTGCAGACAAAGCTTGGGAGCCCATGCAAGGCAAAAATCAATCTGCGGCTCCTCCATAAAGCCAGGTCTCCCGAAAGAGCAGCATTCTCAGTGGGTAAGGATAAAACCAGCTTCACAGAAAGAAACAGCAGGAATGCTTGCTTGTCTTGCCCTTGACTCTGGATAAAGAAGGAAAAATAAACAATAGAAATTTTCCCCGAGAATTCCTAATCATAAACCTACCAAACCTGCAGATTTCACACTTCCCATATAGACAAAATAATCCAAGCTGGAATTTTCATTTCAACAGATCCCAGGTTGGTAGTGACCTTAGGCACCCTGGCAAAAGTAGA